CGTACACGAATTACTACTTTAGCATAAGTTGACCAGTTCGCATAAGTTTTTTTTTTTTTTTTTGTCAGCTCGAGGAGACTTTTAGTATAAGTTTACAGAGTGTGTTTAAGTGTGTGCGAGCGCGCACCCGACCATCAAAACAGACTTTGGCATACACTGAGAACGACAAACACTCTCCTTAATACTGTCTCCGGTCTCATTTCGTGGGCCGACTGAACGATCTCGCGTAGTAGGGGTTCGCAAAGGTAACGCGGCGCGTTGAATCGGCAATTTAGGTGCACGCGCGTCCTCGGTGAAACCAAATGATATTTGTACGAATATTATTATTATTTCGGTACACAGCAGACGCGCGGGCGCCGCTGTGCGAACGTCCACGTCATATATTATTTTATATTATTTATTATATACCATTTCGCGTTCACGACTGCGTGTCGACTTATGTTGTGTATATTATGTATGTATGTGTGTATGTATATATATAATATATATTGCACACTTGCAGTAATAAGTGTACGGAACACGTCACAAATACGACTATTATGGTGACTACGTCCGTATAAGAATAACGCCGATAAAGTTTATAACAAGATTCTATTACACGTATATGTACATAAATATATGTGTGTGCGTGTGTGCGCGAGTATATTATGCTCGAGTTTGCGTTGAGCTTGACCCAATTGTTGTAACCTCCCTTTACGACGTTTGATTTCGACACGCTTCGTATTGCACTGCGGCATCGCGCGAAAGCTGCTAAAATTTTATTCCGTTTTCCTATATAAATATACACGTTTCCGATTGGTGTATGAAATGTAACAGACGGCCTTATCAATGGCCTATCCCTATATCCCGAGAGTTCAAGTATTGCTGTGTATAAAAAATTACGTTTCTATAGATAGTATATTAACAATATATAAAAAAAAATGTTTCGTAATCTACAATAATTGGTATGCGTTTGAATTGAAACGTGCGTGTGCTCGAGCAAACTTTGATTTATTAACGATTACCTAACAAAATAATACCCAACCAATGCTGAATGAGTAAAAAGGTTTACATGGTTTTGGTTGAACACTTGCATAGCTTTAACGTTACGCAACGAGCAGTTGGATGGATTTTTAATCCGATTGATCCGTGTATATATAATATGTACTATTTCTACGGGAGTGAGTATACCATTCTTCGTGTATACTTATCGTATTCTATTATTACTTAAAAATTGGACATTTAATATCTGTCTCTGTCGTATTATAAAATTTAGTTTCAGAGTCATTGTGTTTTAAGCACATAGTTTATATTTTATTGTTCAAGAAATGTATTCAATGCTACGGTTTTAATTATCGAGCAACAAGTTTTCGAAAGCACTGAAGATATTATATATTTTTCATATTATCATAACTATATTTTATGTTTTTTTATATCTCTTTACAGGATTATGTATTTTATTATTTTCAAAATAACAGAAAAAATTTTGCTCATTTATTCAATGGTTCTTCAAAACAACCTCTCTGGCTTTGCGTAACTACTAACTCGACATTCATATTATGTACACTCTAATGCTATTTATTAATTTTTTATAGAATTATTTTTATATATTTATATATTATATGTATTAAATTCTTGGATATAGTATTCTTATTAATTATATTATTCAAGAGTACTAATACGATTATAAATATTAAAAAAATATAGCAATATTAAATAACATAAAAAAATAAATATTTTTTAATCTTTTTATATTGGTATACATATTTATGTAGACCTAAACATTACACAGTTGATATTTATCAACTATTAACGCAGTATTAATAAGTAACATAGGTATGTTGAAAAAAGTATTAACATATATTTATTTTTTATTAATACAACTTATTGATGTTTCAAAGTATGTATTTAAAATAATTTTCATCTTGATATTTGATAAATATTTTATTTAATTTTATAATTAATATAATTATTTTTTTATTTAATAAATTAATCATAATACAAATTAAAATTAAAATAAATCGATTTTAAAAGAAATCGTGTTATTTTAATAAGTAATCTTATTATACATGATTAATTAAAAATACAAATACGAATACTGATATCATATTCTATTATGCTAAGTCTAGTAACATTAGGGTTCATTTAACGTTTTTTTCTTAGATTTAAAGCTGTCTTCTTTATAAGATATTTTTTGCATTCTTATTAGGCCTATAGTTAAATATGGTCAATTGTTCGGGATTAATTTTTTCTGACTTATATCTACTCGAACGTAGTCAGTATAAATATCTTAATTTTATTTTTTTCTCTCTTAAAATCGAGCATCAACCGCATGATTATTCCCAATTTTATGCTATTTAAAACTTAGTAATTTATCTGATCGAAGATAGTTAGTCAACTTAAACTTTCTCAACAAACTTGTTAATGGCTCTATAGATGCACCTGAATTTCAAGTAGAGGTAATTTTAAGATTTTTGGTAGATCATCTTGATTATTCGCTTCTTACTACATTCCTCTTCATCACATTAACTATGGCTACAGTCATCTTATCCTTCGAATGCTGTTTCTAGCAAACGAAAATTTTTCTAGCCTATAATACTTCATATTATGTATATTTCAAAATCAATCTACTGTACCTTAGACAGCCACTCTTAATTTATGTGAAATAAAATAAATACTCATTAAATTCATATCATATTTTTTTTTTAACGACTTGATACATTTTGCTAAAAAATATTGAAATTAATTACTGAGTGAGATTGAACTATTTCATTAAGATGAGTTCGTATAAATATACTACTTTTAATTATTACATAAAATATTAAACCACTATTTCACCGATTAATAAAAGCCAAAATATTGAGTGATTTCTAAAAAAAAATTTACAAAGTAACATAGAATAAATGAATATATAATGCATTATACTGTAATTTTATGGTTTATCTACAAAATAAAATATAATTTTAATTTGTCGAGTATAAATTTGGATTAAAATATACTGCTGTTTAAAGTTTTACTTAACCTACATAAATATCTAAATGATGAAACAAAATACGTAATAAGAATAGTTTTCATATTTATATTTTTAAAATAATATCTAGATTGTGTAGAATTATATACAGTGTATAATGATATGTTGTATAGAAAATTATTTTATTTCATGACGTGGACAATACTGTGATATATAAAGGCATGTATAATGTGTATAGATGTGAAATACATATTCATTTTTCAGTTTTTTTTATCAATATTTTTCTGATCCTTAGTTAGAATCAATAGTTTTTTTTTTTATAAAATCATAAAAACAGCATAAATATATTTACAGTAAAGTAAGAGAAAAAAAATTTCGTTTTATTTTTAATAAATTTTAATGTATCTAATATTAAGTTATTTAGGTAAATTATTTATCATTGCTTTATAATATTATAAGTTATAACTAATGCAACGATTCACATAATTTTTTTTTTTATTTAATATATGAATTTTTATTGACCAATGTTGTAATTTCATATAATAAAAGTATTTGAGGAAATTTAATAACAAAAAAAACAACTAAATTATTGTATTTTGATTTATTTAAATTTAAAAATAATATTTATGTTAATAATATTATTATTAATCATAAATCACAATATGGTTTTAATGAAAATTAATCATATAACATTAACAAATATTATTTAAATTAATATTTCTTCGTATCTGTAGACTGTACGTATAACTTAACAGTTGTTAATTATTTTTTAGAATAATAATGATGAATGTAAAATTATTTTAAAAGTGTTGAACAATTGATTTTATCATAAACTTTCTACGTGAATTTTCAAAGATTTATAATTTTTATATTATTATAAAATATATAAATCGAAATTTAGACACTATTTTAGTTAGATACTTTTATTATTACCTAGGTACTATACCATTATTTATATTCTTATAACTGTTAGGATTTTATACAATAATATTACAATGTAGTAGAAATTGTTTTGTTTCATATTTCGTGTTTAAAACGTTAGCGTTTTTGAATAATTTATATCCTGAACATTATTCATGAGACTTTGATCATAAATCTTTTGTGCGCATTAATATTGTTATGTACACTGAAATAGATTTCAATTGACTGTTAGGATGAGAACATTAATAAAGAACATTAAATGTAACACTATTGTGTTTTTTTGTGACTTTTAAATCGATTACTTTATTATAATATAATGGCATGTAATATCTGTATTTAGTAGACAGTTGCGTTTTAATTTTGTACACACTATTATATATATATATTACGCTATACGTTTGCACAGCGTACGTTTAAATTACTATGTAGCAAGAGCAGTAAATATACCTACAATGTTTAGTAGCCCTGACCGTGATATAGTCCCGTGACGTCACAGGAATCATATATACCCCCATCGATCGTGGGCGTTGTTAAAGCATCCAGAACGATTCGTTGGGCTGCGGTTTATTATAAACACAGCGCTATCGGGTCATTTTTTTTTTTTTTTATAAGAAGAATTATTGAAATGGGTTTCTATTTCTTTTAACTAAGCTGTGCTATTTTAAATGTTGCATATAATATTGTTATTATATCTTATGTTATATGTAAAAAAAAAAAAAAATTAACAAACTATTGAGGTTTGTTTTTTAAACCTTCGTTTATGGCATTTAAATTATTGTTAAATGAATACTTATATATGTTTGATGAAAATGTGTTTATATTATTTATTTAAAACTATACCCTATTGCCGTATTATACTACTTAAAAGAAAAATTTCATAAGATTTTTTTAATTTTACTTTTTACTTTCATAAAATTACTATAATTGCATTAAGATATTTATAGATGAACATTTTTTGAGTTAGAAGTATACGATAATTAAATAATTTGTACTATGTATATTATTTAATTTTGTTTTTTGCTATATTAGAGTTATCTTTTAATTTTATATTCTTATAATTTTGTGATTTTTTGAAAATTTTGAAATATATAGATTTGTCAAATATTTCATAATATTATTTTATGTACAGAGAATGGGGGATGACGGTGGAGGTTGGTGACCAGAACAGTCGCAGGGGTTGGACATGGGCAATAAACTGAGCTCCTGCGGACCTCTAATCAAAAAATCATACAGATACGATGACGTTGCCGGACCATTTCAAAGCTCATCGAGAAGAAGAGATGGTCATCTTCTTAGGTGATTTTGTTATTAATTAAATAATAAATGTATAAACTAAAAAATTTAATAAAATAAGATAAAATAAATAAATAAACCGTAAGTAACTCAAATATGTATAAACACAAAAGCAATAGAAAATAAATTATATTGTAAAAGTAAAATAAAACGTTACAAAATGTTTAAATCATAATATTATAATGACATATACTTATTAAAAATATCTGTATACGTATCATACTATAACATTATGTGTTGAATATATATTTAATTTTTATTTTATTGTATAACACAATAAAAAGTTTAAAAAGTGTAAAATATAATTATTATAATATTATGGATTGTATTTTGATATATCATTTACCACTTACGTAATTCTTAATGAAATCTATTTAAATTTATTTATGAAATCTAAAACTAATTACATGAAAATCAAATGATTTCTATTATGCTGTTAAGAAAATGTTTATTAGTACAAAATATTCAAACAATTTTCGTATATTGTCATTTTCACGAGGATACATAACATACTATTAAAATTAAAACAAAAATAAATAAATATGTTTTATATTGATCTGTCAGAAACGACATTCAAACTGTATTCATCGTTGCACAAAACGCATTTCGTAGAAAATATTTATTTTATTTTTAATAAAATTTTGTTTATATTATATACTTATATTTTATGCATATATTTTAAAACTATAAATTTATATAACATATTATGATAGACAGAATGGTTTAGAATTCATATTACAAAAATGGTGCGAATTTCATACTGATGTTATGAGATTACAATCGTGTTTTTCATATTTTTAGTCATCAATTGATTTCTTTGAACTTTGTTTTTATTTAATATTCAAAATTTCCATCTTTTCAAGTATTTTTCGTAAATAATTTCAAATTAATATATTAAACTCCGTAATATTTTGTTAAATTAAATCATTTTGAATAGTGTTTAATCAATTTTTTATAAAATATAAAAATATTTAGGTAAATAGATAAATATATTATTTTAAACATATTAATTTTTTATTTCTATTCAATAAACACATAATTTAATAATAACATGAAAATATGTATTACACAATTTAATTTTATAATTACTAAAACTCTATTACTATAGTATTATATAATTATTTGTGTATACTGAAATTATGTTTTATTTTATAGTTTTCAAATATTATTATTATCAAACCATCAACATTTGAAATTTCTAAAGAATTATAAATTAATGTATAATGAAACTCTGAGATTTAAGAATTTATGTATATATGGTAAACATAAGGAGAAACAATAACTCATGAAAACTTAAAAAGTCATAAAACATTGAAGTAGATAATTATTATTGTGTAAAGTCTGTTTTCCCCTAAAAGATTCAATTGCTACGAAGTTTTAAGTTGCTTATTATTATTTAGTATTGATATAATAACGTATAATATAGTATTTAAAAAAGATTTAATCTAAAATTCTAGATTCAGTTATGCAATTTTCAAGAAAAGTTCACTTTTAAATAAATTATAAATTCCAATTTTATTATAATAAATTTAACAAATATTTATTATTTTATGTACTTTGAACTATTACATTTTTTTAAATTTCATTACATATTAAATGAATAAATTATGTTATGTTGTATAATAAAAAAAATAAATAAATTAGAGTATAATAATTAGCTTAATACAGTTTAATAATTAATAAGTTCTGAATAAAATGTACTCATATATTTAAATAAGCTTTGTTGTATAGGTATATTTCATATGTATGCATAACATTTTATAGATATCATGATTATTTTTCTGTTTTAATTTTTATATATTGAAAAAAGTTTTATAAAAAATCTTTAATATACTCTAGTTTTAAAGTTTTATATTAAAAATAGCATCATTTTTTTTTCTGTAAAAACGTATTATTTAAAAAAAATATGTTTATATTAGTCATTTGATCCGTTATTTTTATATTATCGGTAGTACTTCATTTCATTAAATAACTTGGCAACTTCAAGTTTCATATTATATACTCTAATAACAGGTGATAATAAGTATTATCATTATATTTGACAACTCTCAAATTAGGTACGAAATTCAAAATCTACTGTACCTATGTCTATTTATAATTTTATAGTTATTATCTTCAATAGACTGGAATATATACCAATTATTCCTCATGATAATAAAACAGATAAGAGTTTGAATTTTAAAGTAATTAATGGGAAACTTTTTAATTTATCTCAATATTTCTTTATGTTAAGTAATTTTTTTAATTTTATATGTAATAAATATTTACTATGTACTATTGCTGTATACGTATACATTTATTGATAAAAAATAACATTGAAGATCAATTATTTTATTTTACGATAATATATATAATTTGTCCAGTATATTTGTGTGTTGCATTTCATTTCATGTATGTGTTAAATACATTTTAAATTTAATTTCAGATTATGGGCTGAAGTATTTCATGTGAGTGCTAAAGGAGAAGAAATAAAATGGCAACAAATATCCGAAGATCTCGTTCCTGTAAACATTACGTGCTTACAAGATGGACCAGAGTATATATTCCACATCACTGCTTACAACAGTCAAGTGGAAAAAATTATGGATATTCGCCTGGTTCAACCAGGTATATTAGTATTTAAATTCTCAGTTAATTTTTATAATACACGGAAACCTATCAATATTTGACATTTTAAGAAAAGTTTAATATGTCTGATAATAAAGGATGTTTGTAAAAAGAAGTTTTATTGTAAACGTATACTAAAAAATTGCGTTTTTTTTAGGTACAAAAATAGGATTAGCTTCAGAATGTTTTGCGTACTGGAAAGAACCACATAGCAATGACACTTGGGGCCTAAATTTCACATCCCCAATAGATGCTAAACAATTTAAAGAATGTTGCGTAAGTACAATTAAGTACTTACATGGTTTATTAATAAAAAAATTTTAATCTTAATATTATTTGTTTATAGACTCCAACTGTGAAATTGTCTCGGAAATCATCTTCATCGTATTCTTTAAAATTAGATACGTCGAAAAGGCAAAGTACGAAAGTGAGAAAAAAACCGCTATCGACACCAACTTCACCTAGTAGATCAAGGGAGCCACAATGTACTTGCATGACAGCTGATCAATTTAATAGACTCAGGGCACAAGATCCAAGATACAATAAAGAAAGATGTTTGTTATATTTTAGATGATTATCACATAACACAGATAAAAAAATAATATAATTTTATTTAGCTTCTACGTTACCGCGTTCTCATACTCGACAACTTTCACTTGGAGATGGACCTTTGGAAGCTGATAAGTCAACAGTACCTGAAGATACATCCAAACAGACCATATCCCGAAGCTCAAATACGAGAGACAGAGAAACTGCCACGCCCGGTGGAAAACTAAACATTACCGGAACTGGGTCACAAACAGAACAGGTAAAAAAAAAAATAGTTAGTTAAACATAAAAAATATAAAAACGATTGTATAGGGTCAACAAGAAAGTTGTAAAAGTGAAGGAGTGCAAACAATCGGTGCTAAGACTACGTCTACCACAGGCACATGCACTCCAAGAATGCCCTCCAAGGACTATTCAGAAGGGTATGTGGAGTCAGATTTATTTAAATCATCAACAGCTTCAAAAAATTCAAGAAATCAAAACAAAACATATAGAGATGATTATCGATATAGAGATAGTGAGTTATAACTGATTTTTATAAAATATGATAAATTTTAGTTAAATTGTTATTTTGTTATTAGTACCTATTATATATACGATTATTTTGCTTAAAAATATTTGATTTGAATTTAATCTAATTTGAACAATTCAAAAACAATCTAGATGTGGGATTAATGAAACGTACATTAAAACCAATGCCATCTTTAGAAAGTCCTGTTACTTCACCAGAAATGAATCGAAGACGTGGTTATAGTTATTATACTCAGCCATCATCAATGTCTACAATGATATCTCCTATGCCACAATGTCCAAGACAACAATCAACATCAGAGTCAGAGTCTAATGTAAAACATAGAAATTCACGATTTAATAACTCAGGTAAAGTCATAACTATATTTTAAAAGTAGAAATAAAACCAATAATTAATTTTAATTTTGTTTTTTACTTTTTAATTAAGGTTCCCGCTCATCTTATGATATAGGTCGAAATGGTCAAGTAAGGGATCCAAGAGGTCTTTATTTGGAGTTGGATAGAAATGGACGGCCTACTCAAGGTGGAGACGTTTCACCACTCTCTGATAACGTTATGTTTGATAACCAGTGTTATGGAACAACACCTAGCTCGAGCAATGGTAATTCCGACCAGGAACAGAGTAACAATAAGGGCATATCAGGTCCGTACGCATGGACAACAAAAAGCATGCTGGACCGGTTGGTCAATAGGTAGAAAAATAATTAGAGGGCTCTGTCATGTATTGAAATACAGGTTTTAAGTTTTACAGTAAAACTTAAAATACGAGTATAATAGGTTGTGTGCTTTCCATGCGTATAATTTTAATAAACAATTATCTTATTGTATAGTGCTTAAATATTTGCAAATTAAAAAAAAAAAAAAAAACAATAGGTTTAATTTAATAAAAAGTAAATAATGATAGTTATATTTTAGAAATTAAATGCACTATTTAATTCAATAAAATAAAGCAATTAGGTAAAAAAATTAATAACAATAAAATGTTTGTTGTAAAATAAAATATACTAAGATAATTTTAACTTTAGGACGTTATCAAAAACATGATAATCAAACAACAAGTACTCCTGGTTCACCAACTAGTCGACTTTTACTCGAGTATGAAATGCACTTACGAAATACTTTAGCGCGTGGTATGGATGCTGAGAGTTATAGTTTGCACACATTTGAAGCACTGCTAACACAGAGTATGGAAAATTTAGGTAACTTAAAATATTAACTTTTATTAGATAACAAAACTTTAAACTATGGTTACATTTTTAGAGATGGCAGAAAAGTTGCCCCCATTAAACTCAAGAAGTCCGTATCCTATAAGAAGGCGTTAGTAAAATAATTATTCTATAATTTATCACTACTCACTCATGTATATTGTATTTATTAAAATAATTTGATTACTATGTACTTATTTTTAGGACCGATGAGTGCTGGAGGGAGCTTTAATAGATCATCTACACTTCCACATAGAATCGAAAGATCATCCAGTGCTACAAGAGAGGGTTATTATAGTGATAGACAAGATGCAGCTAGAGAAAGAGACAGAGAACGAGGTTACTTATCTGATCATGCACCTTCTAGGTAAAATTTAAATAACATGTTACATTTATGTGTAACAATTATAGAAGTTAAACTATTTTAGTAATAACTGTTTTCAAAATTAGAAAAAAGTTAAAGAGGAACTTAATAAAAAAAAAGTTTTTAAAAATTATAAGTAAGTTCAAAAAATTTTTTTTCTACAAACTCATATCATATACACTTTAAAAGTGAATTGGTTATTTAATGTATTATTTTAATTAACCTTATTTTGATATCTTAATAAGTAAAAAATTAATTTCTATAATGTTTTAGTGTTTAAAAAAAAAAATAAAAAAATTGTGTAAAAACTATATAAAATTAAGTGTAGTAGTGTGAACTTTATTGCTTTCATCAAAGTACATTAAATAATAATAAAAAAAAAAAAATCATAAAATCTTGTAACTATAATGTTAAATATTTTATAATTATCATTAATATTTATAACTCAGAAAGTGTAAGTATCAGAGAAATTATTCTATAACTGTCAGCATCTTAGAATATAATTATATTAAGATCATACATTTAATTCTACGAACTATCAGAAAAAGGCAAGGAATAAATATTTTAAGAATGAGAAAAATACTTTTGAAATTATATTGAAATACATGATACTAGGAACTAAAAATATTTTATAATTTTTTGGAACATGGTCATTTTTATGCAAAATTACTTTTCGAAAAATCTTTTTTGTTTTTTGGTTATCTCGTAATTCAAAAATAAAAATGCATAGTCAAGACATGAAATAAATGAAATATTTTGATTCTTTTTGAGCTATTTATAAATATTTGGAATGTTACTATTTTTTTCTTCAATTCATGTATGATAAAAATGTTGTTTAAGTATAATAAAATTTGAAAAATACAACTTTCATACATTATGTTGTTAATATCCTAATAAAAAAGATCGGAATAACATGGTCACAATTTACATCTAAACCTCTAAAAGGCATTTTTTTACGAAATTTGTCAAAATCACCAAAACAAGTTAGTAATTTGGTAGTTAAATAAGTATGAAAGTAGGTACCGCTTTGTTATACAGTAGGAGTCAAGTGGATCACTGTAATGGATGTATTTAATTTAAATTTAATGATTTACTATTTTATATGAAGTATATTATTGTTATATTATTTTTATTAACTTTTGATTCAATATAACCTTATCGTAAATAACAGTGTGAATAGGTTTATGGTATAAAACTATTAATAAGTTACATCTTAAAATTAATCTACGTAATTTTAAATTATAATCACGTATAGTATAATTTATGATATACGAAAAAATATAATAATTCTCAAGGAATAATAATTTTAGATCATAAAAAAAAATAAATCAAATCGTTATTGATTGCAAAAATCTGTGATTTTTTTTAAATTAAAATTTAAAATCCATAAAAAATTATCGTGTTTCTTTATTTTTTAAATGAAAAATATACATTAATCATTAATTCATCATTAATACATTTATTGCTTCACTTAGAATCTAAAATTCGTAACATTTTTAAAATACAATATTCCTCATGAGTTTAATTTATTTAAATCCAAAAAATAGTTTTTATATAACTATATACATTTTTATGACAATTTAAAGATTTGATTATTCATTTTTTTGAAATTTGCTTCTACTTTACTACTCATACTTTAATACTCAAATTCAAATGTTTAAAAAATAGGTGATCATAATTTTTTTATTGGTATTAGAAATTTAAGTTATGACGAAAAAAAATAATTAAAATAAGTTGAAAAATAAAGAATGATATAGTATTCTGTAATAATTGAATTGAATTATTTATAAGGATTTAAACTATTACGTTTATTACGAGTACTATATTTTTTTCTATAAACCTTGATGTTTTAAAAAATTTAGATTAACCTTCAGATATTACTTATTTCTACAGTAACTAAATTTTATCTTAAACGTTACTGACCTAATTATTAACACTGTTCTACAATAATAAAATGTATAAATATATAAGTACTAGATATTTATGTACTATAATAATTAATAATATAATAAATTCCATGTTTTCAACTAACGTTAATTCAATCTACTGTATTAATAATAGTAAAATAGATTGCTATTTTAGCAATTTTAGTATTTGAATAATTTTTGTTGTATATTTTAAAGAAAATCAAAGTCATTAATAATTTTTAACTATCTTTATAGTTTTTACTTTTATCTAGAAAACATATATTATATTATTATAATATAATAAACTATGTTATATAGTCTGAATTAACCACATACATTTAGATTAATAAATGAAGGTTAAATATAAACCAGTGTTAGCGTTAGATAATGAATAATACTTATATATGACGTCGAATTTTAAACATAATATTATATAGTTATTAGATACGGAGCAGTAGTATTATTAAATAGTCTTATTATTACGCTAAATAATAATATTATACGTATAGTTATACAAACCATTAAAAAAATTAATATTATTAATATAAAAAGTACCATAAACTTTACTATAAAATTTAATATATTTAATTATATTTAAAATGCAATGTTTGTTGATGATTCATCTCGTTAACTACCTCGTAATAATTTATTATTATTATCATTTTAGCAATAATAGATGTGCCAACTGTTGGAACGAATCTGCTCGAGCTCAATGGTTTAGACATAGTGATGGTTGGCGGTGCGGATCTTCAACCATGGGAAGTAATGCATCAAATACTGGTGTTCCGTACGGTTCTTTTGACGGACACCATGCTCATCATCACGGTCCACCAACAAGGGCTAACAAAAGATCGGCTTGGGAATCTTTACCATCACTTCGTCATGAAAATAGTCTTATGACAGATAATGAATACAAATCTAATAGGAATGAATTCGAACAAAGGTAGTTAAATTAATGATCACAATATTTATTCTGACAAATCGTGAAGTTATATTTTACATAGTTATTAACACTATTTTATTCAGATAGAATAAATAGAATTTTTTTATTATTATAAAAACTATTGTGTTTTTAATTGTGATTAGATATAAAATCATATAAAATTAAATTAATTACTAATAACCATAAGCTATAAACTCAAGTTTTATTATCGTTTCATAATGTATGTAATGAAAATAATTTATAATAATATAATATAATATTATTTTCATAAATTGCTAAAAATTAAAAAGTTTACTTTAATTGTTTTATATTGTATTTAATATTCAAAAATAATTGTGATTAAATAGAGAAATTTGTTTTGTTATAATTGTATATGTATACATTTAAATCCAGGAGATAATAAATAAGAGGGTTAAGAGTATATTATCGACTAAATTTTTTTTTATGTGAGTTATGAGAAATTCGTTTATTATGATACCGTGTAATAACGATATTCCGGGTAAAACTATTCCAAGCAATGTATTTGGTTGGTTTTATATCTTATGTGTAGTACTTTTAATCGTATATAACGGTATCAGTTACAACAACAATCCGGATATAGCGATGTTATTTTGAAATGAAAATTGGTTTTTATATTCACCTATAGCAATTAATAATACATGCACAAGTTGTAAGTTTGATTTCGTTCGAAGCAATAAGTCTTATTCTCATTGGTAACAGATAATGTGTCTTGTACGATACGTATATTGTATACGGCATACTTATTTAAAGTACTGTCTATTTCGCAAGTTAATTTTTATATTGGTCAGATGCGTACTTTTGTTTCAATAAATAGCGCTATAAATACGCCAGAAGTATCAATGGTATTAAAGTATATTTCTAATTTTGTTAAAAAATTCTTATTCAAATTATAAACAAAGCACTATAATAGATTATTTTTCAAACATATCGTAAACATATATGTACTGCATGTTTGTACTTTTATTAAAAATAATAAATACCTTTATTGATAAAACATGTAATCTTAAATAAAATTGTTCAAAAAAAAAAAAAAAAAATGTGTTTAATAAATCATTTTTTCAAAAAAAAAAAAGTTAATCTTTATAAACCGGATAAAATGAAGCTCAGTTGTAACGAATAGATTCTTTAGGTCCCTTGAAGATCGCAATAAGCGTATTTGACTGTATATAAAAATGTCTACTTATTATTTTTTCTCTTTAATTTGATAGAATTATATTAATACTACGAAAAAAATGGTTTTGAATTTAAATCTCTTTTTTATTAACTATTTAACAATTGTTTAAAGTTTTTTTTTTAATAGTTAATAACTTTTTATTAATTATAAATAATGTTAAACAATTATAGTTTAAAAAAAACAAATCAAAAAAAAAACATTTTTAAAATGTAATTTTTCTAAATTGTATGTTTATTACTAATATGCTTTAGATATAAAATGTGATATTCAAAGTTTTGATCTGTTTAGTGCAATTAATGACAATTGCATTCATGCTATAAAGCATTAATATTTTATATGTGATAATAGCTTATGGTTTATATGTCATATTAAAATGAGAAAAAATATGAATAATTGCTTAAACTATCAGATATGGTTCAAATATAAACGTTCGTTCTAAATAATTCTGGCACCTCTATAAACAATCTTCTTTGCAATTTTCGTTAAAATTTGTTGATAAGTTTTTAATTTTATAATTTATAAACCATTATCAAAGCACATATTAATTTATGTATATAGATAGTTTAATACTAGTTACTAATAATAACAAATAATAATTAATTGTAGTTTAAAGCAGTTTGTATTTGTTATATTCAATAATATTAAATATGAATTATTATTGTAAACTAATTATGAATTATATTAATTATTTTTAGAATGTTCGAACGACAAGATAGTGCCAGGATGGATTATATGGCTGAAAGAGAGGCTAGACATAGTTTTAGTGGAATTACACAGCAGACTTCTGTTGAAAGCACAGATTCTCGTCTATGCTACCTTACATCATCAGAAGTAAGTACATTTTAAACCAAAAACAGCTAGCTTACAAAATATATGTATATATAAACTATTTGTCCTTGTGTACTTCGTTGCTTGTTTGGTTGTCCTTGGACTTCCTTCGTCTTAAACTCTATTAAATTTAAACTGCACAGATATTTATTTCCTTTTTATCACATTCGTTCAAAACAAAAAATTTGAAAATCTACTGTGTACATTCATTAAAGAAATTGTACCACCTATTTAATTTATTTGTATATCATTCATATATTTTTTTAATTACTTCGTCGTTGAGTTAATGATTTGCATATCATTTTTTAATATATTTAAAAATACATTGTTTGTTTATAGAATAATAGTTTATTTAAAAACTTATTTTATTTGTAAATACCATTTAAGTCATACAATATTTAATGTTGTATATTTTTGTTACTCATAACATTAATATAAATTATAATCTATAATCAACAACAACAGCCACTTAAATAAATAAAAAAATATTTTATTTTTATTTTAGTTAAAACGATATTTATATGTAAGTCACTCTATAGCAATTTAAAGGGATTGAAAAAATAAGCTATGAATATTATTTGAGTTTCAAGAAATTTATTGATATATTTTTTATTGAAAGCGATTCAGTATCTTTGATATAAAGAATAATATTAGCTATAAAATCATGTACATACTCGTATATGAATATTATTGGAGTATAGTAATCGTGTACAAAATAAGAATAACAACATTGGAGTATTGAATTTTTCGGGTAGATTTACATTCTGATTATTTGATTTAAACTAAATTGATTTAATACACGTTAATAAGAAATAAGTTTTTGTTACAAGTTACAACGAAATTAATGTGGTTCGTTATTTTATAATAAAAATGAATATTTATATGATATTTTTAGCATTCTAATAGAATAGTATTAAAATAAATCTACTTTTTAATTGGCGAGATCAAATTTATCTTGATACTTGAAGTATTCTTATAAATTAGTTGACACAATACTCAGTAATTTTGTTAACTTTTCCCAGTATCCAATTAACAGAGTAACGATGTGAAAATAATATACAGAGTTAAATTTTACGAATATACATGATATAAATTAAATTAAGTCTCTACACATATATGTATAACTTTTATGACATGATTATGATTATTATCTGTAATTAATACTCAACCACTTTTTTTGTCGTATACTTATATCTTCACCTGTATATATTATATATATATATATATATGGTAGAGGAAAATAGATATACATTAGAAACGTATTATAGAGTGAATTCGCATAGTATTTTTTTTTACAAATTTTATGATTTTAAAGAAGGTAACAATGCCATTAATTAAAATAACTTAAATTGAGCTCATAGCTTTAGATGTTGTAAAATGGACTTACTCTTTTCCTACTTTTCTAATATATATAGAGGAGTGGGCAAAAAGTGGTCTAGTATATTACTAGTATACTTTTAGTGTTTTTACATCTAATGCTAATTTCTTGTCATATATAATGTAATCTTTGAAACGAATTTCAATAAAACAATATTATATAGTTAGTAAGTAATTAAAAATGTTTTGCGTGTAGTACGTATACTAATAATTAATTTCAGTCAAGTCAAGTTCGACTATTCACGTATAAAAAATAACTAAAAAAAAATTTACAGAAGAATTTTTTTTTTTCAAAAGCTTTATATCAAAGAATAAAATTATTGAATAAAATTCTTTTAAAAAACAGTTATTAATACATTGTATACAATGTCGTGTACTTTTGTCTTAACCATACATACTTATATATTTTGTCGTTTTTGATTATGAACTATTATATTATTACCGTCTTATAACCTGACCGTTTTTCACATCAATTAATAATTTAATATGTACATTTTTATAGAATTGTTTTAAAAAATATAGACGAATATGAACAAAACTATTAAATGCTCACGTATATTTACATTTGTTGGTAAAAAAATGGACATTTATATTTTATTCGTATTATTTTGGAACACAGCGTTACTATATGTATATTATAATAATATATTGTATGCAAAAGAGTTACACAGTTTGCTTAATGTTTAACAAAATCCTGTTAACTGACGAGGAACATTTAAGATACACAAACGACTGAACAAAACGAAACAGATACATATGCCGCGGAATATAGGTACTTTAAAAATGTAAATTTTTAAGAGACGTCTCACGTTCGATAGTATTAACATAGCTAATATCTACTATACATCTGCATATTATATTTTACGGTTGAAAAACATTTCTACAAAACGGGAACATCAAAGGAATCAGTTGTTATTTCTCGAGGTATTTCCAAAATATAACCTGTAATGATGTAATTAAAAATACGCGTTTTCTTGTATTAATTGACAATAATAATAACAATCAAACACATCTTGAACGGGAAAATGTTTAAAAACTCCTTTTCAATTATTTTTCTCCGCCAATTATTTGATGCAGTGTCCGCGATACCCGAGAACCTTTTAGTATTTCGCTATTAATAACGTTGTAAAACATACACTCGAACGCACACACTGTGTTTTATTTTGTTCGTTTTACTCGGCAAACGCGTGTACGGATTCAATACACATATTTTCTCGTTCGTCGGGCCATTTCCTTTTGATGTGTTACACCAGAGGGCGCCGTCCGGGCGCCGGGACGCTGCGAACGCCGCTGAAATACGCCCTCGTGATACACCCTCGTCCGCTAGTCCGCTAATGGAAGCTGAACGATCGCGTCGCGCTCCCCGCAGTGTACTACAGCACTCGGTACGGTTGCAACGCCACCGTTACAGTCGCACCGCCGTGTACCGGACACCGAAACGCTACGGCCGTGTACCGATCGCACATTCGCGTACGGGACAGCCTTAGTTCGTTTATGGTCGTGAATTTCGAGCGGACGACGACAATCGCAATCCGTCTGTAACGCCATTGACTCTACGGACATTTGTTTTGGACAACACGTCGAACGCGCTACGTTTACGTTTATCGGACAACAGATAGTCTTGCCCCCCGCCGCGATCGACATGTCTCGTCCTGCCGCCGGTCCGCTCGTCGACGACAACAATATTGTAGTAGCGGTGGTCGTCGTCTCGGCACCGTTGTAAAGCCATCGCTGTGGTGGCGTTCGACCGGGCCGCTACCGCCACCGTCGTCGGTACGAGGTACGACAACGCTGCGGCAGTACAGTAGTGCGACAACACAAGTAATACGTGGGACGGCGATACCGAACAGTAGCGACGATGGACGATCCGGACGTGTCGACGTGGTGTTGTTATTGTTTGCGGTGCGTCCGGCGACGGCGTTCGGTGCGCGTCGAATGCCGAACGGCGGCCGTGCTGCCGCGCGTGCACCACAACTGCCGCATTGCGGCGGTCGCCGAATAACGGCAATCACGCTGTCCGCCGATGAAAATGGTCGAAACGAACCGGCCGAAACCGCCGTTGGACGTCGCCACCGCGGCGGCCGACGCGAACTCCTCGCCGACGCAGCAGCAGCATCAGCAGCAGCAGCAACAGCAGCAGCACGAACACCGCCAGCAGCGACGTGAACGCCAGCAACAAATCGAATACCGGCAACAGCACGGGCAGCAGCCTTTGCAGCACCGCCCGCAGCAGTCACGACACACCAAGACGGTACACTTCGAGACGGACGCGTTGCCAGACGTCACGGCCGCCCACTCTGCGGCGTTGGCAGTGGCCGCTACGACCGACTGCACGGCCAGCGTCACCAGTCTGCCCGACCAGTTCGACAGGCACGTACAACAGTTGTTCACGTTTATCGGCACCGCTCTGAGCGGAGGCCACGATCGTTATTGCAGCGACGACGGCGACGACCGCAGTGATGACGATGACGACGGCGACGACGACAGTGACGACAGCGATTGCGTTAGTGATGGATTTTGTGGCGGCTGCGGTGGCGGCAACGACGGCGACGACGACGACGACGACGATGACGACGAAGACGACCGGAGGTCGGTTAGCGACAGCGAGACCATCAGGAGGAGATCGACGTACCGGCGGCGACCGGCTGCGTTGGTGGCGTCGTACGCCGCGTCGTCGTTCTCGGGTGGCGCGCGTACCATCAGTTTTGAATGCGATGTGGACAAGGGCAACACGCCGTTCAGGCACAGGCACTGCAAGACGACGGCCGGCACGTGCAACAGAGTTTTCCTCAAAAAGGTAACGTGGCGGATCCTAGTGGTAGTTGCAGTGTCCCACCTCCCCCGCAGCGGGTGGATGGTTAAGTATTGTTTTAGTATCGACCATTTTGACACGATAGGTAGGCTACGTGTCTAATGCTTACGTAAAAAAAAACAATTTAAAACATGCCTATAATTGACGTTCAAAAATTATTTCGTATAAATTTTCCGATATATATTATTCCGACCGCGCTTTTGTCAGACGGCCAGAATATTGTGAACTTATACGTTTGCCGGAGAAAGTTCAATGGTGATTTTTTAACGACTAAAGTTTATGCCATACACGCTCGTTTAAGAAAAAAAAAGTAATAAAAGTTTGTGGCGCAGAGTTGGTGACGACAACGCCGACGCCGTGTCGTCGCAAATCACGGTGACAGAGCAATGGCGTGGTAGTGTGAGAGGCAATTATAATGTGGCATTTTGTCCGGAAATTAAAAACGTTTAATAGAAAAGCCTTTTCTATTCCGCCTCGCCGGATATCTCATGCAGCCGGAACTAAGACAATAGGGACATTTGTAATATTACAATTTTTGCCGTACACAGCTAAGGGTATTATTACAATGGAAATGTCGAGATTAGAGTTTTTTTTTTTTTTTTTTCTGTTATTTTACTACCTATAACCTCTTATTATTATTGTTACTTTACATGTTATCTACTAATTTCAAATAAATTCATGGAAATAAAGAATATTTTCATTGTTTGACATCGAATGAAATATTTACGTAGTAGATTTCCCATTGCAAAACGAAATACATACATATATGTGTGTATATACTAATATTTGCGAATCTAAAAATTTTATTTTAATG